ATTATCGAATTGAAATATTTCAACACTAAAAATGCCATTGTGGACGTAGGAACGGATTTACAACATTGGTACTATGATAATGTTCAGGACAAAATTTTGAATAAATTGTACGAATTTCAAGAACGTGACTCTGGGTGGGCTTTGCATAAAATAATCTCGATGGAAGTCAATATTAACAAACTTGAAATGGGAAATGGTTTATCTTTTATTAGACTTCCAGAACAAATTTTGAAAAAGCAAGCATGTTTGAATATAAAAAATACTGACTCGGCATGTTTCTATTGGTAAATCATAGGTGCCTTCTACCCAGCGAAAACAAATAGGGAACTGACTTCTTCATATCCATATTACACTACAGTTCTGAAAACAGTAGTTTCAGATGATGCACCCATGTCTCTACGTCAAATTCCAAAATTTGAAAAAGACAATAACATTTCCGTGAATGTATACACATTAGAGTTGAATTTATTCAAGGAAAAATCATATTATACTGTGGTGCCAGCTAGACTTACAAAAAATAAATCAGAAAGGCACGCTAATCTATTGCTAATTCAAAACAAATATTATCCAAAATTAAACGATTATGAGGCTCCTCCGATTGATGAAGAAGATTCTGACATCAAATACCATTACTGCTTGATTCAAGATATGTCTAGATTAATATCAAACCAAGTGAATAAACATAAGGGTAAAAAATTTATTTGTGACAGATGCATGAATTATTTTCAATGTGAACAAAAATTTATTGATCATGAAATGCTCTGCTCTCAATTGAACCAATGTAAAGTTTCATTTCCAAAATATGATCACATAGAATTCAAAAATTTCACCTACCAACAAACCACCCCCTTTATAATCTATGCAGACTTTGAATGTCAATGAGAACATGTGGATGATATGGTTTCATCAAAAACAAGCAAATATCAGAAACATGTGGCTCATAGTGCAGCCTATTATTTTAAATGTGATTTCGATGATTCCTTGTCGTTTTTCAATAGCCATAGGGGTGAAGATTGTATGGATTGGTTTGCAAATGAAATGTCGAAGATAGCTGAAATCGTGCAATCTAAAATCAAAACAATCGTGCCAATGACTGTTAGTCCTGACAAATGCAAAGCAAAAATCTGTCATATTCGTGAGAAACCATTCAGGGAGAAAGACATTATCGTAGCTGATCATAATCACTTTTCAGGCGAGTTCAGGGGGTGGGCGCATCAAGCACCCTGTAACATAAATTTCAAGAAACTCTTTGTTGTTCCAATGGCATTTCACAACCTGATAGGATATGATTCACATTTCATGTTCAGTCAATTGAGTAAAAAGGGCCGTATGAGCATACTTCCAATAAACATGGAAAAGTACATATCTTTCACTTTACATGATGACAATACAGACATCAAATTCCGATTTATTGACTCTTTTCGCTTCATGGGTACATCCTTAGATAAATTATCTTCAATCATGGATAGAAAAGATTTTGAAATTTTGAAAATAGAATTCAGTCATTTGAACGATGATACATTCAGTCTTCTCACCAAGAAGGGTGTTTTTCCCTACGATTACATTAGTTGTTTGGAAAAATTGAATGATACTGAATTACCTACAAAGAAATATTTTTATAATAAATTGAATGATGAACACATTAGCGATGAGCAGTACGCCCAATATTCTGACTTATATTTAAAAACAGACGTTATGTTGTTGACCGCTATTTTCGAGAAATTCCGGCAGAAATGTAGGACAACTTATGGGTTAGATCCAGCATGGTACTATACAATGCCTGGATATACATGGGATGCCATGTTAAAGTACACCAAATGCAAACTGGAATTATTGAATGACGTTGATAAAATCATGTTCATTGAGAAGGCATTACGTGGTGGTATTTCTGTTTGTAGTGGTAGGTATTCAGAAGCTAATAACAAGTATATGTCTGAATATGATTCCAATAAACCTTCAAAATATTTCATGTATTTAGATGTAAATGATTTGTACGGTTGGGCAATGTCAGAGTCTTTACCATTCGGAGATTTCTCATGGATGGAAAACGTTGAAAATTTCAACGTAATGAATATTGCTGATGATGCTCTTGAAGGATATATTTTACAAGTGGACTTAGAATATCCTCGCGACCTACATAACAATCACAAAGACTTTCCATTTGCTGCTGAACATCACATACCACCCGGCTCAAAATTACCAAAATTAATGACAACACTTTACGACAAAAAAGATTATATTTTACACTATAGAAATTTAAAACAATGTTTAGCAAACGGACTGAAACTGACGAAAATCCACAAAATTTTGAAATTCAGGCAATCTTTCTGGCTCAAATCATATATAGATCTGAATACTTCTTTGAGGACTGCCGCAACAAGTGAATTTGAGAAAAATCTCTATGAACTAATGAATAATGCAGTATTCGGTAAGACAATAGAAAACATACGAAAGCATAGATTAGTGAAACTAGTAAGGTCGTGGGAGGGACGTTATGGAGCCAGAAATCTCATAGCTAGTCCACGATTCCGTGGTAGAACGATTTTTGAAGAAAACTTGATTGCCGTAGAAATGCAGAAAGCCGAAATAATTTCTAATAAACCTCTATACGTAGGAATGGCCATTTTAGAATTATCAAAATATTGTATGTACAAATTTCACTATGAGTATATGCTTCCGAAAATGGGTATTGAAAGGTGTAAATTGTTATATATGGATACAGACAGCTTCATATATGAATTGAAATGTGATGATGCATATGAAGAAGTTATAAAGGCTGATCTCTCTCAATTTGACACATCTGAATATGCTCCAGACAATGAATATAATATGCCACTAGTCGATAAAAAAAAGTTGGGTTTATTAAAAGATGAAGCAAATGGGGAAATCGTTACTAATTTCGTAGGACTACGTTCGAAAATATATGCATATAAAGTACAAGGGGGTAAGGTTGTCAAAAAATCGAATGGGGTGAAAACTAATGTTGTCAAGAATAAAATTGGGTTCGAAGATTATTTGAAATGTTTGAAGAATTTCAGAGAACAAACAGTGTCTCAACGTACTATCCGTTCATATGCCCACAATGTGTTTAGCATTCAACAATCAAAAATTGCTCTGAGTCCCAAAGATGATAAACGGTATTTGATTCCAGGTTCGTTTGACACATTGCCATGGGGTCATACACAGGCAAAAGAGTAATTTTTTCATGTAAATCAACTCATCAAACATTTATAAAGAAAAATAAACCATACACCTTCACTTACACTCCTCTGTTTTAGATTAGATTAGATTAGAAGAACGATATGAATGTGATATGAATTTACATGATTCACATTATCATTATGAGAGATTCATCGATTCTGGTGATGAACATACAGATATTGAATCTTGACTTACTTTAACAATATGTTACAGATTTTAGTAGCATGATATCATCTTTACAAATGTAGTTTGCGAAAGAAGACAATGAAAAATGCCTTTTTTTCAGAATATGTTTTTTCTTATGGAAATGTAATACTTGTCCTGACTATTAATGTAAATATAATATATGCTGCCTATAGTGAGTGTAAGAGAGAGTGAGAAGGTAAAAAAGTGAGAAGAAGAAGAGAGAGAGAGAGAGAGAGAGAGATTGGATGGACATTAGTTGAAGGTATGGATGTAAAAAACAGTTGTATCATGTCTTCTGACGAATACAGACGTGCCCTAGAAGAATTTGGGTTGAAAGTTAGAAAGCTCAGTGCAGACATCCAATTGTATGAGCAGAAAGTTTGTTTGTTCAAAGATTTCGAGCAATTGAGTATTTGGGACAAGGTGTTCACAGAACCAAGACGTTCAGTTGCAACGTTTCCTACATCGAGAAGAATCCAACCAACACAGCTAGATGGCGATACTGAAAGCAAGCTTCATTCTATTGACAGCTCTGAGCAACAACGTCTTCTACACAAACATACCGTACAATACGAGGAATGCAGCCGTATGTTTTGATGTGAATCGTACACAACAGTGTGATTGGAAGCTGATGAGTAGAATGTATGTCAACGATAACAAACTACCTGTATATTCAATCGACATGCCTCGAGTCAATGGGACCACCATCGAGTACAAATTGAAATTATCGTTTTCTGATGGCAGTGACGGCGAAGTGGGAGACTGGCAGACATTTACATTGGAGAAATGACCCGCAAAATTAGATGATGATCAAGATTCTGTCAATATCATTGCAATTTTGACACTTTGTTGTACACTAATATGTTCACTCATTTTAATCTCACATGTTATTTTCATTATACTGAGAAATAAGGGATGTGATGAATAAAAACTCTGAAATTATTATAAAGTTTTTTATTTTGGCAATAAATTACATAGCCAATTATATAAAGTATCGACATTGTGGAGACTGCACTGGAACCTTCCTCCATGGAAATGATTCATGCAAGGTGGAATGGATTGTTGAAACGTTATTGGTTGCCACCAAGAATTGTCAAAATCTTCTAAATTCACAATGTGATTGGTCATCTCCAACTCTGCACATTTTCGCTGCAAAAACTGAATCTTTTGGTGTCCTCTAACGTAGATGATATTTGTTCGCTGCAGGTTGTCTTGTAGTATTCCATCGAACTCATTTAAATCCACATAACCACTGGAATATCTCAAACCATGCACATAGCGTTCCAGGTGATTTGCCATCTTTTTATCTCCTCTGCTTAAACTCGAAAATTCTACAGATGGCTTGAATAGAAAATGACTAGTCTTTTTGCCAATGCGAATGGTCATTTCCTTTGGAATGAATTCACCATCAACCGTGAACCCTTGAATGTCAACCAGTGCGATCTCCATGACTCTTCGAAGCAAACTGACGTCTGACTGATGCAGCAACACCCACCTAGGCAATATTTCGAACAATTCCGCTGAGTGGGAGATGTTCCATGATTTGATCGTGAATGATGATGCAATAGGCTTTGGTGTCGGGAGGGAAGCCTGTAGTCGCTTCAATGTCCAACTTTATGTCAACTGTGGACGACTTTAGACCCAGATAGCGCCTCGAGCAATCGATAACAAACATTGGTCGGGATTTGAATTCGGCAAAGTTCACTAGAGAGCGCTTTTCTTGACAGTTATGGTAGTTCTTGTTGAACTCTGTATAGTTGAAGTGAGCGTCAGCATATTGGTCTTTGGAAAAGTCCAATAGCATTCTTTCTTGCGGATAATAGTCGCTATTCAGAGCCAATCGTATGGATTTGATGTTGGCATTATCGAACAAGGTGACGTCTTCATGCAAATTATCGGCTTTTTTCGTTTGGAAAAATACTATAACATATCTTGGACTGTCCAATGCAGAACATGTCTTTACGGACCAGATTTCTATGGTAGATCCTTGTGTGAGTGCTGGTAGCTCGTGCAATTCCCATCGGCGAAACGGTATCATCATAGACTCATCTGCTTTGATACGTGTCAACAACTGCAACTTTATGTCATCGTTGGGTGTGAGATGTGGCACTTTCAAATTGATGCTTTCTATCGTTATTTTAGCAATACTCTGAGTCTGAGGAGATCCTTGCAAAGCAGTATTCGCTCTCTCGACAACCTTCACACTATTGGCATCATTGCGAGCTCTCACTAAACGGATTGACTGCTTGCCCCACGTTGCCACTTGATGATCATTGAAGATGGAAAACAAATGTTTCAGTGGAATGTTCATGCTAAACGTACCATCGGTGTTGAGGATCGGAGCATTGGGATAGTTCCAGCCTGCTATGGCTAGATGACGTGAGTCTTCAGGTGTATAACACAAGTATCCTCGCACAGTACTCGTTATTCCAGGATATCTGACAGTGTCCAATTCTTTATTACATAATTCATAGGTGCAGGAATCAAAGAGATAAGCTCCAGCATTGTGGGTTAATGTACCAGTACCACCACCGGTCACCTTCAATTTACCCTTGATGGTAATGATGCCTCCAAACATGGCTAACCACGAATCTGCTTGATTAACCGTTATATCGATGACATCATTTGTTTGCGTTTCGATAGCCTTTGTGGTTCGAAGAAAAATGGACTTTATCACAAAAATTGTAAACTTTATAGCAAATATTGAACTTCAGCAAATGCGGCAAAATTGAACGAGTTGCACTAGATAACGACTCACCACTGTTGAATCACTTCGGATGTTGGTTCATTCAACGAGCAAATCCTCTGACTTCTCAAAGGGGCTCCTTTTGGCATGAGGGAAGATGTGCTGTAGTCACCACGAAGAAACCGGCGGCTCGTCCAATGGTGGCAATGGTTATCCAGATATACACAAAGCACGCACACAAAAAGTCTACAGCTGGAAGCTACTAAACTAATAGCTGTATCGCGGGTAGATTATGCATAAGTAAGCAATAACTTGCTATATAGCGAATGCAGGAATGCAATGATTAATAGAATTAGAAATACATACACCAACCGGGTGACATGTGCGGAGCAGTTCGTCAGAAGCACGGTGCTCAGTAATAAAATTGAAGAGCTACTAAACTGCGCAGGGCGCAGGTGAGAAAAATGAATATCTCTCCGGCAGATTGATATGTCATTGTGTCAACGATACGAGATAGATGTCGTTTTAGTGCAACTATATTGAATGCGCGGAAATAGAATGATATTATAAAATAAAACTAATTGATTAAGAACCTCAAAGGCTTTCCCGAACATTCTGCCCCGCAAAAATGCAGAAATTTATTTTGCATTTTTTGACCCATATATCTATACAGAATTTATATAAATCTCGATTGAGTAATCATCAGTCGAGTAGAAAAAAAAACGAAAAAAAAAATAAGATGGAATAACATTCCATAAGAATAGAACAAAAAAAACTTGATTTGGTTTAGGTACTATTATATAATATATACAAAAATGAATTACAATAACAGTAATAATGTAGGTAGCGAAAATCGGAGGATTAATCGGACTCCGAGGTGGAAAACGGACACAACTTTACCAAAGGGCGCGTTAATGTGCCAGTATTGGTACGGACCGTTGCCACGCGAGAAATTGAGTCGCGACCAGGATGAAGGGCAGTGATGCGGCCCAAGACCCATTGGCAGGGAGGAGTATTCTCGGATTTTATTAAAACCAGCGTTCCGACTTCAGGAGAAATAGTGTCTAGGGTTTTAGCCATTTACCTCTCTGCTGAAGTGTGTGAAGATACTCTCCGTGCCAACGTTTCCAGAAATCCTAATGTAATTTCTGGAGCATCTGCCATCGGGACAGACGATTCATATTTAAAGGCGTAAAGTCAGGTAGCGGTATTGGTGAAACAGGCTCAAGTGTTAAAAAGTGATTCGGAGTAAGCGCATGGATATCCTCAGGATCGTGGGTTAGAGGGCCAAGAGGGCGTGAATTTAGGGTAGATTCGATTAAGGTGAGGACCGTAGAAAACTCTTCATAGGTTAATATCTGCTGTCAAATGACTCTACATAGATGTCCTTTGACAGATTTGACTCCACTTTCCCATAAGCCACCCCAGTGGGGCGAAGCTGGAGGGATAAAGGAATGTTTAATTAATTCGTGTTCCGCGGCATTTTGCATTAATTTAGCCAATTCTCGACTGGCACCTACAAAATTTGTCCCATTATCACTATAAATATGAGAAACTCGCCCACGACGAGCAATGAATCTCTGTAAGGCCGCTAAGAAAGTTCCCGTTGAAAGATCAGTAGCAAGCTCCAGGTGGAGGGCCTTAGTAGTGAAACAGACAAACAAACATAAGTAACCTTTGCAAGTTTTGACACCATTATGTCGAGTCATTGTCAAACAGAATGGACCACCAAAATCGACACTGACATGACTGAACGGTTTGAGTTGAGAAATTCGAGAAGAGGGGAGGTCTCCCATAGGGGGTTGGAAAGTTTTCGGTTTTGACTTCCAGCATTGAAGACATTTTGTCAACACATAATTTATAGCTCTCTTGGGAGATAAAATCCAAAATTGTTGCGAGATTAAAAATTGAGTTGTGCGAAACCCCGAATGCAAATGTTTTTTATGAAAATATTCAATTATCAAGGTGGTAAGGCGACTTGATTTCGGTAATAGTATAGGATATTTGGCATCACGGGACAATGAAGAATGTTTTAATCTACCACCCACTCGAAGTACATCAGTTGCGTCTGTGAAAACATTTAATTTGCGCAGCGGTTTGGAAAAACGATTATTGCGAAGTTCATCCGCAAAGTGTGTATATTGAGTGTATTTTACCAAAATGATCATAGCATTATATAGCTCTGAATTACTTAGCGTACCTTTAAAAGGAGACTGGCGATGAGAACAGTTAAAAATAAAGCGCATCACAAATGCAGTGACACGTTGCACCGAAATGAATGAAGAAAAATTGCGAAGCAAATCGTCAATGACATTTGAAGGACTCGAGTGAGCAAAAAATGCGTATTTTCGATCTTCTTCAGGAGGTAAGTCGCAACTGAAGAAAGAAGCAGGAGGATCCAACCACGGAGTTTTGGATCGTCTTAAGAAATCAGGACCATAAAACCACAACGAATTGTCTACTATTTCTGAAGGAAGTATTCCTCGTGATGCAATATCAGCGGAATTATTTTTTGAGTCAACGTAATACCATAAACCAGGAGAAAGTTTTTATTGGACATACGTCACTCTGTTGGCAACAAATGTTTGAAACCGATGGGGAGAACTTTTGATCCATTGAAGGGTAATCTGAGAATCAGACCAGGCACAAATGGACGAAAAATGCATATGGTATTTTAAAATGTTGATGACAAATGACATTAATTTGGAAAGCAGTAGAGCAGCACACAGTTCGAGACGTGGAATTGTGATTTTCTTCAGTGGAGCCACCTTGGATTTTCCGCAAACAAAATGAGTGGAGATTGAATTATCCGAATTGATATTTCGCAAGTATATCACACAAGCGTATCCCCTCTCACTAGCGTCACAAAATCCATGAATCTCGGAGATTTGTGATGCAACAAAAAAGCGATCGATTTTCAAATTTGACAATATTTGCAATTCGAGTTTATATTGTGTCCAAACACGAATAATTTCAGCACTGGGAGTATCGTCCCAGCCAATATTAGATGCCCACAAGCGCTGAATTAAGTATTTAGGGTTATTGAGGGTTTAATTGAAAAGCCAAAACAGTCCAATGAAGGATTCCAGTGTAATCCTAGGACCTTCAAGGATACATCTTGGTCGAAAGAGAGGGGGTTAGTGGATAAGTGAGATGCCGGAAGGTCCGACAGAAGCGATGGTTCATTACTGAACCATTTTCGTAGCTCGAATCCACCACATTTCAAGAGTGAAATCAATTCAGAAATTAAATTACGTGCATCTTCCAATGTGGAGGCACCACAAACAAAATCATCAACGTATGATGAGCGGCGAATCGATTCGGCAGCCAGAGGAAATCGTTTTTCCTCATCTTCGGCTAACTGTAATAAAGTGCGAAGTGCTAAAAACGGAGAAGAAGTTACACCATAAACGACAGTGTTAAGTACGTAATCCTGAATCGGATCCTCAGGAGAGAATCTCCACACAATCCGTTGGTAATTTCGATGAGCAGAATCGACTAAGATCATGCGGTACATTTGCTTGATGTCTGCACATACAGCAAATTTATAGCAGCGGAAATTGAGCAAAATGGTGACAATATCTTGTTGTAATTTATTACCAGTAAGCAAGCAGTCATTTAAGGAGGGTTGATTTGAAAGCTTGGCCGACGCGTTGAACACTACTCTCAATTTTGTAGAAGTACTTTCTGGTTTCAGTACGCAGTGGTGGGGAATATAATATACATTTTCAGACTCCGGCAATTCTGGGGCTACAGACATATGATTCAGCTCGAGATACTCACGTATGAAATCTTTATATTGGGAATATACATCTGGTTGTTCCAATAATCGGCGTTCTAAGGAAACAAATCTTGTGACAGCTAAATCTCGAATTCGTGGAAAAGTAGGAGACGGTATTTTAAAGAATAATGACACAGTATATCTCGACCAGCAGTATCACGGTAATGCGTAGATACAAAAAAATTTTCGCATAATGCATCATCAGGTGAGGCGCACTTTACGAAAGGTACCTCTTCTACCTCCCAAAATTTTCGTAAAATTCCTTCAACATCAGCGGTTTCCAGCGAGGAACAAAAAAGAGAAGAAACTGAAGGAGTGATAGTTTGGATACGTCCCGTCACGATGTATCTGAACACGGTATTGATAGCATTTGGTTCATCTGAACCACCAGAAATTTTTCCATTCAAGATGGTTTTTGGAAATACATCTGCTCCGAGCAGTAAGTCCACTGCACCGGGTAGATAGAATTTATTGTCAGCGAGTTTGATATTTGCTAAATGTGACCAATTGTCTATCGTGAGTTTAGTTGCAGGTAGATTTCCGCAAAGTTCAGTTAAAATTACAGCATCAGTAC